CTCCGGGAGCCGCCGCGCGTCCCCGTGACAGGCCCGACCTTTGCTCCATTTCCAGTTCCCGGCCGCGTCCGGGGGACGCCGAGTCCCGTGGTGGCGGCAGGTGGTGGGGGACGCGTCCTTGCCCGGGCTCCCGGGGCTTGGGGAAGGGGCTTTCCGGGGAGCCGAAGTGTAGGAGTGGGCTTCTGCCTCGTCGGACCTGCTCCTGGGGCTGTTGGTGTGAAGGAGCAGCCCGGCCCTTCTCTCTGAGACGCGATTGCTCAGAAGGGTGTTTACCGGTTGCAGCAAGTCCAGAGGAGGCCACGAAAATGCTCCGAGGGCTGGAGCCCCTCTGCAATGGGGACAGGCTGGGAGAGTCGGGGGTGTTCCGCCTGGAGAAGAGAAGGCTCCGGGGAGACCTTGTAGCACCTTCCAGTGCCTGGGGGGCTACAAGGAAGCTGGGGGGGGACGTTTTACAAGGGCATGTAGTGACAGGACAAGGGGTAACAGGTTTAAATTGAAAGTGGGGAGGTTTAGATTGGATATCAGGAAGAAGTTCTTCCTGGAGAGGGTGGTGAGGCACTGGGACAGGTTGCCCAGAGAAGCTGTGGATGCCCCATCCCTGGAAGTGTTCAAGGCCAGGCTGGATGAGGCTTGGAGCAACCTGGTCTAGTGGAGGGTGTCCCTGCCCATGGCAGGGGGGTTGGAACTGGATGATCTTTAAGGTCCCTTCCAGCCCAGACCATCCGGTGATTCCTTGATTAGAGAGAAACAAAGTGGAGCCTTGGGGAGAGTCACTGTGTGGGGGAAGCCTGTGTTTGAGGGTACAAAATACTGAAGAAGCAAGTTGCAGTAGCCCATTTCTTCTAGGTACCACTTAGAAGTAAATAGAGTCTGTGATTAGATGCCCCTGAATCCTTTGCAGCAGGCAGAGTGTGAGTAACTTGCTGTGGCAGTAAACAAACACCTTCCTCTCTGTAAGGGAGTGAGTGTAGGCTTAGCTGAGCTCTGTGGGATTGCAGGGAAGGTGGTGTTGAGACACTGAGGAGAGGTCAACAAAGGGTTTGAGAAAGGAACAGCCATCCGTTTAACTCAGCTCTGTTTCTAACTTCTGAGGTTTTGTGACAATAAAATAAGAGCAAGTCGAAGAACTCGGGGCACAAATGCAGGTAGTGAATTTTCATTTCAGCCCTAAAGTAGTAGGTAATCCTTGACATTCTAAACGTCTTCAACAGCTTTAAACACTACCTTGTTATTTTCTAGTTACACTTTGCTTGTGTGGTTTCAGCTGCTGACGTTTACCAGTCTTTCAGTTTTTATTTTTTGTTAAAGCAGCATTTCATTTTTACATATATTTTTATCAGAGTTTTGGGAGGATTAGTCTTCCTGTATGACAAAAATACAGAAAGTTAGGAGGAATTAGAAAGCACAGTTTTTTGAGGTGAGATTTGTGCAGGTATATGTGATGATGCAGAGGATAACACAGCCCTCAGAGCATGCAAATCCATGTTGTACTCGCTTTTGTTTTGAGTGTGCGAGTTTTCAGCGTCATGGATTTGCAATATTGTGGCTTTTGGGGCACGTACAGAATGAATGAAACCCACTAAAAAAGTTTGCTTGTTCAATACATTCTCTCTTCAGTTTAAATTGAGCTGAATTGCATTTTGGAGGTTGTGTGGTGGGAAGAGAAAGCAGTGATGATTTTCAGCATCTCTAATAAACTGACACTTTATCGTCTTACTCGTGTATGTATTATTATTGTTTTTAAATTGCTTGAAGCATTAAGGACAAGTGAGTCTTGTCTTTACCTCCTTTCCCAGCCCAGTGAAGTACGGTGTATGTTAGATCTTCGTATGTACCCTGGGTATCCTATGGACCTAACAGCGTGCTAGGCTTGGGATGGGAGTGTGTGTAATTATGTTTTAAGGGAACACATGTTCCCATCTTTTTGAAAGGCTTATGTAAGTGGGGTGCCTGTGTCCTAATGGATGCTTTCACTTGTCTTTTTCAGTCCCCTGCAGACTGAACAGCATGGCACAAAGCGCCCAGAACCATCTTCTGCTAAAAGTTTGATTGATATAGGCACTCGTCGGATCTTCTCGTCGGACCATGATATCTTCAGGGAGAGTGCCAGGAAGTTCTTTCAGGAAGAAGTGCTACCTTTTCACACGGAGTAAGATACCTCTTAAACATCCTGCTTTGACGAATAACATGCATTTTTTCCACAAAAATTCTCTGCATTCTTTGACCTCCAGTGTGGCAGTCTGGCATCCTTGTCTCAGGCCTGTGAGCAGACAAATGCAGCCTGCAGAGTCGCAGCAGAAGTGTCCCTGCTTGTAGGTGTTAACACCCGTGTCTTGGGGGTGGAGACGGTTCAGTTGCCATGCTATTGCAGTGCTGTCATCTCAAAAACACTGGCATTGTGTCCAGGTTAAATTGCAGTGGTGTTTTTTAAATACCATACACGTAGGATGGTAAGCTGGCTTATGTATTGCCAAGAAACTCCTGCAAAATACGTGTTTTGCTTCTGTGGAAATGTGTGGCCTTCTGTGCAGAGTAGAAGTGTCATACTTGTGTTGAGCTAGAGCTGGAGGATGTTTTTTGCCCTTATTTTAGCTATATCTCCATGTTATAGTTGGGGAAAGAAATAAATTAATTCAGAATATCTGTTTGAACAGAAAGCGTTAAGCTGTAGTGGTGTCTTAAACAGGTTTTACTTTACTTGAAAAACGTTCCTGTGAAAACACCAGGGGGTAGTGAAGGGCTTATTCTTAAATCACACTGCTAGATGAGTTTGTTGATGCAGTTCAGTGTGCATCTGCAAACAGTTGAGATGGCACAATTGAGTGGGTGGGGTGTTGTGGCTCTGGGGCAGAAATGAACAGCAGGTGGCAATGGAAACAGTTTCCATTTGGGTTGTTGCCAACTATTTTAGTTTTTCATCCTCAAACCATGACCTCAAAGGGGTGTACTTTTCTGCTGTACAGTCATACTTTGTCCACAAAACCAGATGTTTCCCCTCACTTTTTGTTAGAATGGCTTTTGGTGCAGGTTTGTGAACAGGTACGGGCTCTGCCCGAGGTTACTGAAGATCCTGTTTGCTTGCTTGCTGGCACAGTGATTTCCTAGAGAGACTGGAACAAGTTGGACTTGTGTTCTTGCATCACATCAGTGACCTATGAACCATTCTGTTCTCACCCCTTTCAAGTAAACAAGGAGGCTTCAGGCATAGTAATTGGCTGGGCTGGAGGGGACAAGCGTGGCGTCAGCAAATGCAGTTGTGGGTTATTGTGAGGAGGAGAAGCTTCGGTGATGGGTGAGGTAGAGACAGGAATGGTGCTGTAAGGGGGTGGGGGCAACTCACGAGAGGAACTTGTTTAAGATTTCCAGTGTAGAGTGAAGGCTCTGGGAATGAGCTTAAATATGCAGGATGAACTGTGATGAACACTTGATGAACTGTGGCTAAAGTGCTGTGGTATAGCTCTGCTGCACACAGATGTGTCAGAGGAGTGTCTCTGACCGAATCTGTCTACCATATAATTTTAAAACTGTGGTTTAAAAAAAGACATTTAAAGAAAAGAAAAGCCATGCTGTGTCATTAATGCCCACCCAGCCTTCTACTGAGTTGGCAAACTCCACAAACAGGCACTATTTTTCCAAGAATAAGTGATTCTTGTGGTGTGAAAATCTGCAAACTGCTAGCCAGATAAGCCTCAGCTACCTATTCATTTATTGAAACCACCTTAAAGTAGTAATTTACTGAGATGCCGACCTGACTGGTAGTATGTGCACAGGGACCGATTTTCATATAAAGTTACTAATGTGTTAATGATTGGTTGTTATAAAGCAGGTGTCATTGGCACAGTTGGAATCTTTCACAGAAGATACTGGTGTGTTACACCCATTTTGCACATGGGGAAAATGGAATGTCTAGAAGATAAAGACCTGCTTGTAATTATCCAGATGGTTGGGGCTAAATCTCCTAAATCCTGGTCTGGTGCTCAGCCCAACAGGCAGCACTGCCTTTTGTAACAAGGCTTAAAGACATGTCAGGTTATGCATTGGAAGCAGGAGTTCAAACTTGTCATACAGTTGGTGCCTCTGTAATGCCAGTGGCATCTGCAGACTTGAATAGAAAGCCTACTATTGAGCCACTGCTGCTTAGCTGTGAAATAACTGTTGTCTGTGTACCCTACACGCTGCCTGTTGCTGAGACTGAAAGTCTCCTATACAGTGAAACCTGGCTGCAGGTGTTCTAGTGCGAAGCAGCAGTCATGACAAATAAACAGTCCCATGTATTTAACACATGACTCTGTTCTTGTGTTTGTCTTGCAGATGGGAGAAGGACGGCCAGGTGAGCAGGGAGCTCTGGGAAAAGGCTGGACAGCAGGGTTTGCTGGGTGTTGCTATTGCTGAAAAACATGGAGGCATCGGGGCGGATATTCTGTCTTCAGCCGTGGTCTGGGAGGAGCAGTAAGTACTAGGTGCTTTGGGAAGAATGTCAGTGATATTACCCAGAGACTGGTGGTGGTTTGTGGGTGTGGTGTGTTTTTTTTTTTTTCTTTCTGTAAGATGTCATCATGGAATATATTTGCCTACAGAAAGTGGTGTTGTCTTTTTCATGGAAAAGACAGTTTAGACTTATGTAAGATCTCCTGTTTTAAGTATTCAGGATGAATGTTTAAGTAACAAATGTCATTGTGCTCCACTGTTAGGCCTTTGTGGCTGGGGGAAGCGATTTTGTTAGCCTGGTAGGTTATATAGCCATTTGGCTGTGAAAGTACATTCTATAAATAACAGTACAAGTGCAACAAGCTCGGAGTGTCCGAGGCTTCTATGTGGTGGGGCGTTCTTCATTGCTGGGTCTGTGTTGTAATGGTGTAAAGTTTGGTGTTTAAATCTTTGTGGTACCTTTTGCTGAACTTTTTTTCCCCATTCCCCAAGGATGTACGTTAACTGTACGGGCCCAGGATTCAGCCTTCACTCAGATATAGTCATGCCCTACATTGCAAACTATGGCTCTGAAGAACAGATTAAACGCTTTATCCCCGAAATGATCGCAGGCAAGTGTATTGGAGCTATCGCCATGACAGAACCTGGGGCTGGCAGGTGAGCTGAACACTGAAATGATGGTCTTAACGTTATGTGCTGTCGATCGATTTGTCAGTGAGAAAACCTTCCGAGCCTCCTGGTTATATGGTCATTTTGGTGACTAGACAATATCCTAAATTAGGTAGGACCTCCAGAAAACTGGTTACTTGTAGATGATAACAGCTTTGTCATTTCAAGATACTTGGTCAGAATCCAATTCTGTATTGTCCCACTGTGGGCAAATATGCTTTGTGTTTGCTTTTATAGTTACTAACTTGCTTGTAGTGTGAACATGCTTTTATATGAAACACAGTCAGGAGAAAATTACATACCTCAGTAACGAGGGCATGTCTCTAATAGTAGCTTTTGTTGTGGAACAGAACACCTTATTTTCTTTCCTCTGAATGCTTTCAAACAGGGAAATGTCCCTCCTTGCCCAGCATTATTGAAGGGCAGACAGGACGTGTTTGGAGTAGACACAGCTGATCTGGCCAGTTTCCAAAACAGGGAGGATGAAGAGCAAAACCTGTTAGTGTTACGGTTCTGCATGTGGTAGATGTTGCCAGTGGCTTTTTACAGATCCTCCTGATTAGGGTTGAGCCTGCTTAGAGGATGCAAGTTTGTCATCTAAGGCGCATTGGCGTAAGGGGATGCCGACCCGTTGGTGTCGGTGCTTGTATTGCACCACCTTCCACAAGCAGATGTGTTAAAATGGGACCTCACACTCTTGTTGCATAGATTTGTCATCCCTTTCCGCAGCGAGCTCGTGGTTTGTGTTACACTCTAAGCTGTTTCACTGTCCTCGTATGAGTTTTCAGTGAGCCCGTGCCTGGACGGTATAAAATATACCTTATTCAAGATATAAATCACAGTTTCTGGGATGATTTCTTGAAGGACCTTTTGAATTTCGTTTAGTGACTTGCAGGGAATACGAACATACGCGAAAAAAGATGGAAGTGACTGGATTCTTAATGGCAGCAAGGTAAGCAAACCTCTATATACTGCTCGTAGGCTTTGGGAACTGAATGCATTTAGATGGTGAAGGCTGTACACCACTGTTAGTATCTCCCTTTCAGTCAGTCCTTTCACTGTTGTTATTTGTGGGTTATGTTGTGTTTTGGGGGTTTTTTTCTCTGTTACTTTTTTAATAGGACTTAAGGTAATTCTGTTGTTGGCAACTTACAAACTGATTTATGGAAGGGCTTGAGTAGGAGCTTTCTGTAGCTTTTAAATAACCCTATCAAAAGGCCTATTTTCCCTTAAACTGGGAAGAAAATGAGAAGAAAAAGAAGTCTTACATAGCATAAGCAGGACCAGGGCTGTTTTTTTAGTACTGAGGTTGAAGAACAAAATATACGTATTACCACTATGAAATCTTCTGTGGCCCAAGTAAAAACTTGCGTTGCCACAATGCAAGTTGTGGAATCTTTATTCAGGAGCCTGCTGGTCATCTTTGGAGTAAAACTCGACTGCATCAGATGCTCTCTGTATGTTCTCAAGCTGTTGCAGGGCTGGCAGCATTAACCTCTTCTTTCATTGCCCTAATAAAAAAGCCAAGAAGGCAGAAATAAGGTTCGGATGGAAGTGAATGTGGTGAGAATGTGTCCACCGAGCTCGTTGCTGTACTCCAAGTTGCATTTTTCACAGGTATTCATCACTAATGGTTGGATGAGCGACGTAGTGATTGTGGTTGCTGTTACAAACCGGGAGGCCCGATCTCCTGCTCATGGGATCAGCCTTTTTCTGGTGGAAAATGGAATGAAAGGCTTCATCAAAGGACGCAAGCTGAACAAAATTGGCTTAAAAGCTCAAGTGAGTCCATACAACCCCCAACACGGTATAGACATGAAGAAAGTCTAAAAATGCTTAATGCCAGGCATTAGCTAAATCAATATAAAACAAACTGTGGTGTTATTCTGGTTGTGAGGCTTGAGAGCACAGCATACACACAAGGTATGTCTGTTTGCCTGGGGAAGTCTGAAACATGTGGTGTGCAAGGAGAGGCTGGGGAAGCTGGGTTTCTTCACTCTGCAGAAGTGTGGAAGGACAGGATCTTAGTGGTGTCTACAGCTACCTAACTGGCTGTAGAGGTGGTGGAGCCAGATCCTTTTTAGAAGAACACAGTGAAAAGGGGAGTGGCAAGGGACACAAATTACATTAATGAAAATTCTAAGTGGGTGTTAAGGAAAAATACCTGTATAAGTGATCAAACACAGAAACAGGAGCCCAGAGAGGTCATGGAGCCTTCATCTTTGGCGCTTTGGACAGCGTAACTGGACAAGGCCCTTAGCGGCTTGCTTTGCTGGAGCTGCTTTGAGTAGGAGGTTAAGTAGATGACCTCTGGAGGACCCTTCCAATCTAAACAGTTCTTTGATTTAAAGTGTACAGTAGCAAGAAAAAAAGTGGGACAAAATAAGTGGAATGAAGAGATGAGAATGTCAGGCTCTAAACTGTGGCGTTTAAAATCCTCTCAGGACACAGCAGAGCTGTTTTTCGAAGATGTGCGGTTGCCAGCCAGTGCCTTGCTTGGAAAAGAGAACAAAGGCTTCTATTATCTGATGGCAGAGCTCCCTCAGGTAAGAGGAACGTGAGTGTTTGTTACTCTGTAGGAAGAATACGGGGGCATTTTTTGCCATTGCAAGAATCCGCCTTGGTCTTGAAGATGGTGTGTGGTGGGGCTGAGACTTGGGCTTTCTGTAGGCAATGCTCTTGCAACTGCTGCTATTTAGCTGAAGTACGCAGTTCCTAGGGCTGAAGGTGCAGTTCTTTGGGCATTGGTGAGAATGTTGATACCCCACCAGCTCAAAGCCAGATCCCTTAATCAACAACCCAGCTCTTGAAGAACCTGAGGGTAGTGTAGTTGAAAGAACATACCACAGTTTTCTTGTATGCTTCTAGCATGGAACTGCTTTGCTTAGTAAATTAGGTGTAGCTTGAAGGTCACCGATACATTTGGCATTCTCTTTAAAGAAACACACCAGCGCTGCTGTTCGAGCTTGCCTACCAGTAGAATCATATTAAAGACATAAGGAACTCTTTGTCCATATAACAATGTAAAGAAAACATTTAGTTGCTGAGGTACCTTGCTAGTGGAAATGACGTTTTATGACTCGGTTTACGAAGTTTTGGAATTATTTGGGAGGACAAAGAGGCAATGTGGCTTTTCCAGACGTGACTGTGCTTTGTCAGAACTATGACTCTGTATTTGCCTCGTCTGGTAGGGATCACTTCTATTTAATTTTATACTATGAGTAAATACAAAACCTGATCAAAGGAAATCTTTTACTGCTTTAAAGAAATGGATGCACTCGTGAACAGGTTCAACGTCATGGATCAGATTATTTCAGTGGTGCTAGAAGTAATTTTTCTGTGCTTAGTTTCTGGCTTTCAACATGTTGAAGGAAAAAACAGCCAGGTGTTTTTTGTAGGTTATGTTTTTTCTAGAGAGATCCTATTGATATTGTTAAATACAGTTGTTTCAATTACTGATTTTTTTTCACTGCTCGGTTTAAACAGAATTCAGTGTGAAATTTGCAAATCAGCCACAGGACTCTTACTGACTGAAGCTATTTTTTTCAGTCATTGCTGTGATAGAACATTACCCTGGAAAAGACTTTAAAGTGAGCTTCAGGCAGCAGGGCATTTGTCCCACTCATTAATTTCAGTAATGCAGTGTGTCTGGCTTGATACTTAGTGTGACTTCTGCCCCCCTCCCTTAATGAACAACACTGAACATCTGTGTCCCAATTGTGCAGCTGATAAGGAGAAATGTAGGCCTAATTCAACTGGATTCTGTAATTTGTGTTTCAAAAGGAAAGGCTGCTAATTGCTGATATGGCTCTTGCCAGTTGTGAATTCATGTTTGAAGAAACAAGGAATTATGTGAAGCAAAGGAAAGCGTTTGGGAAGACAATTGCACACTTGCAGGTGAGTTTGAACTGAGCTGCTTGTATACAGAGTCCGGTGAGCATTTGCTTTGTGTCTGTATGTGTGAAATAGTGAGGAAATGAAAACCACTGGGCTCCTTTCACAGGACTATTTGCACAGGTTTTGGTGTTTGCCTCCCTGCCCATCGTTCATTTCTGAAAACCAAACACGGTAAAAAAACCCAACACCACAGAAGCCTTAATGTATGTGTTTTAGGATGCAGTTAGATAGGCCCCAGCAGTGCTGCTTTTGGAAGTGCACTTCGCAGGCAGGAACTATACTGGCTTTTTCTTGCTGATGAAGAAAAATAACCTTGTTGCTCCAAGACTTGCATTTTGCTGTCAGAGGCCCTAAGCACATGGGCTATGGACACCAGCACATAGTGCTGTCTGCCTGGACTCCTCCAGCCTGCAGGAGAGCTCGGTGCATGTGCAGGTATGGGGTTCCTCGGCGGCAATGCAGTGCAGAAGAAGGACCTTTGAGGTTGATGCCAGTGGGGGCTCCCGGGCCTTGCTTCCTGAATGCCTGCAGAGGTGTCCCTATTCAGCTTCATGGGTGCTGTAATGAAATCCCTCAGCCAGCACCTAGCTGGGTATTGAAGTGTCTGTATAAAACCACTGGGTCATTCTCTGCCAGCATACCTCGCTCCTGACAGTGCTAGCTAATTGTGTTTTGAGACGTTTATGCCTACGCTCTTCAGTTGCAGTCATAAAACAGATGTTGCTTTCCGCACTATTGCGATGTTACGCTTTTCTTGGAAGCCACACCAGCTGTTAGGGTTGAAGCAAAGCTCCTGCATGTTTGGTTTGTCGGACAGAAGTGATTCATGTGGGTGAGAGGATGTTGGTGGCCTCTTTATTAATATACTTTGGAAATAATTAAAAATAATAAATCCATTTCTAAGTCTTGAGATTTCCTTTGTCAAATTCAAATCTTTAATTGTGAATAGCAGCAGAATTGTGCCCTTTAAAGACTGGAATGCTAGGTATCTTTCAGGAAATTATGATCTTCATCTGGTTTTACAGTTAAGGTTCATCAAATCATAATTCCAGATGGAATTTAGTATGTGCCGTTTTAACACAAGAATGTATTTAACCAATTTTTAATGCAGATAAGGGATGCACCCTAATTGTAGTCATTCACTGTGCAGACACCTCCAAAATAATCTTTTTTTTTTTTTGGCTAGCCAACAACCAGGTGGCAAATAAACTTCATAAAGTGTATTATTTTTGCCGAAATAATCTGTACTTGCATAACTTTTCTGTTTTCTTTTTGCTGCTGACGGCTAGAATGTGCATATAATCAAAAATCCTTTCTAATTAGAACTCTGCCTTGCCTAATTCATTTAGTCATGCCACAGTACAGTGTTTGAAATCAAAGCTTTTCTTTATAATAGGAGACTGGTCCATTATATTTATGTCAAGGGAAGCAAGAAGATCTTTATGTATCAATTTAGAACAGTGAGATTAGAAAAAACTTCTGTTACTGGGTGCTGGTTTTATCCCCTCCCTACCAGAATTACAAAAAGATGGTTGAATGCTTGCCTGCTCTGGTTTATATAACCTTAGCAGTGAGGGTTTAACATGGCCTTAGCCATGGGCTTACAGCCTCGGTAGGTAAGGGAAGAGCAACTGATGTCGTCTTCCTGGACTTGTGTGAGGTGTTTGTCTCACACGGCATCCTTGTCTCTAAATTGGAGAAGCATGGATTAAATGGGTTGAAGGCTCGTTGGATAAGGAACTGGCTGGAAGGTTACACTCAGGCTTGTGGTCAACATCTCGATGTCTGGATGGAGACCAGTGATGAGCACCATTCCTCAGGGGTCTGTGTTGGGACCGGTGCTGTTTAACATCATCAGTGACATGGACGGTGGGGTTGAGTGCACCTTCAGCAAGTTTGCTGACAACACCAAGCTGTGTGGTGTGGTCAACACACTGGCGGGAAGGGATGCCATCCAGAGGGACCTGGACAGGCTGGAGAGGTGGGACTATGCCAACCTCATGGAATTCAACAAGGCCAAGGGCAAGGTCCTGCACTTGTGCTTGGGATTGCCCTGACCCAAGGACAGGCTCGGTGGAGAATAATGGATTAAGGAGAAGAAGGACTTGGGCGTATTTGGTTGATGAGAAGCTCAACATGACCCAGCAACGTGCACTTGCAACCTGTTGGAAGAGGGCCACGAAGATGCTCCGAGGGCTGGAACACCTCCGAGGGCTGGAACACCTCCGCTGTTGGGACAGGCTGAGAGAGTTGGGCTTCTTCAGCCTGGAGAAGAGAAGGCTCCGCGGAGACCTTATAGCACCTTCCAGTACCTGAGGAGGCTGACAAGAAAGCTGGGGGGGACCTTTTTCCAAGGGCCTGTAGTGACAGGACAAGGGGTAATGGGTTTAAATTGAAAGTGGGGAGGTTTAGATTAGATATCAGGGAGAAA